TCTGGTTACCTGGTGTCCTAGTTTGTTTCTCCACTGCTGTAACAAAACACTCTGACCACTACCAACTTGGGGAGGAAGGAGTTTATTCAGCTTACATCTCCCAGGTCACAGTTCATCAGGGAGCCCAAGGTAGGAACTCAGGGCAGGAACCTGGAGGCAGGAGCTGGAGCCCAGGCCATGGAGGAACACTGCTTACTGACTTGCTCCTCTGGCCCCTGCTCAGCCTGCTTTCTTATGCAACACAGGCCCACCTGCCCAGGGGTGGCACCACCCACAGTGGGCTGGGCCCTCCCACATCACTCATCAAGAAGATGCCCCTCAGACATGGCCACAGGCCAGTCCAATGGAGGCAGTTCCCCAATTGAGGCTCCCTCAGCCCAGGTGTGTCAAGTTGACACTAAAGCTATCCAGCACACCTGGCTTCCCTATGTACTCAACATTAGACGTATGAAACAAAAGACTCAAAGCTAGGATCCACATGAGACAGAGGGTGTGGTGTTGGTCTTTCTGGGCCTGGGTGACCTCACACGGCATAATTTTTCAGTTCCATTCATTCACCTGAAGATTTCATGAGTTCATTTTTCTCCACAGGTGAGCATTATTCTGCTGTGTGAACATGTTCCCTTGTCCTTACCCGTTCATCAGCTGGTGGACTTGTGCTTGATTCCGTTCCTAGCCAACACCTAGTGCAAACACCTCTGTAGCAGGATACTGAGTCCTCTGGGTGCGTGCCCAGGAGTGATGTAGCTGAGTAACATGGCAGCTCTGGTCTAGTTGGAGAAGCCCTCAGACTGATTTCCATGGTGGTTGCCCTAGTTCACACCCCCACTAACAATGTTATAAGAGTTCCCTTCCCACATCCATACCCGCATTTGTTATCGTTTGGATTCCTAATCGTGGCCATTCTGACTGGCGTGGGATGAACACTTAAAGTCGTTTTAGCCTGCATTTCCCTGATCGCTAAGGATGTTAAACACTTGCATTTTACTAACCATTCATATTTCTTGTTTTGAGAACTTTTTGCTCAGTTCTCTAACCCACTTTTAATCGAGTTTATTTTCTTGATATTTAGTTTTATAAGTTATTTGCACATTTAAGACACTAATCTTCTGTCAGATGGATAGATGACCAAGATTTTCATCCCCATTCTGTGGGATGACTCTTCACCTGATTGGCAGTTCCCTTTGCCGTACAGAAGCTTCTTAATTTCACGAACCCCCATTATCAACCGTTGGTCTTCCTGCACGACAGGAACCGGTGTTCATGGACACTTCCTGCTTAATCCTCTAGCGACTTCACAGTATCTGGTCTTACCTTGAGGTGCTTGATCCAGTAAGAGCTGAGTGTTGTCCAGGGTGAGAGATTAGCAGCCAGTTTCATTTTCTGCTGAAATACAGGTTTCCCAGCACCATGTGGTGAAGATGACGTCTTTTCTCTAAGGTGTGTTTTAGCATCTTTGTTAAAAATTGGTAGCTGTAGTTGTGGGGTCCAATATATGGATCTTCTGTTCTATTTTGTTGACCTGAGTCTTATTTTTGTGCCATCGCTGTTCTGTTTTAATTACTATGGCTTGGTTTGATTATTAAAATCCCAAAAGAATAAAGAAAAAATATTCCACAAAGCAGAAGCTGGCACCTAAATTAGTATTAAATACAGAAAGTTCAGATTCTTAATGATCAGACAAAGAATTCAAGAGGAAATTCCTGGACAAGTGAGCCCTCTCATGGCCTTTTCCTTCATGAAAAGAAAAGGAGGAAAGAGAGGGCTGGCTTCTCCTGACATGTAACATGTAAACATGTAAAGGCAGCTCTTCATGGAGCTGTAGAGCCTGGGCTGTATGGGCTCCAAGCTCTAATTCTGCACACATTGGCTCGCACAGTACTCACCCTGTCCAGTGACTGTTTCTCCTGCTTTAAGATGGGGGACTCAGGGCACCGAGAGGCATTCCCACATTCAAGGTCACACTACTCACTGTAAAGTTTCAGACCTAGGATTCTTACCTGGTTCAATTTCAGAACTTTTTCTCCCACCCACCATCCTCCCAAATAAAGCAAGGTTTCAATGGCATTAGGTTTGCAGTCCCTGACCAACTGCAGAAGTTAAAAGTCATCCATTGCCAGAATAGTTCCTTTATCAGAGATGTTCTTTTATTGACATCATTATAAACGTTACCTTAAAAATAACAATAAGGAAAATAAAAGAAAGACCAGACGCTGCTGAAAAACACCAGAGCCTGAGCTCTCATGGTCTTTCCACCCTCCCTTCCCCAAAGGTCCTTGAGCCTGGAGGATGCGGGGAGGGATACAGATGCCCCATTTGTGACTGAGCACGCCAGACATTCAGGGACACCTACTTTCTCTCTCCTCTCCTACGGGCTTCACGCACAGATCTCACTTAGCCATCAGAGCAACTCAGCCAAATCCCGACTGCATCTTCATTTTAAGAGTAAGGAAGGTGAGCCCTAGAGAGTGGACAGGACTTGCCAAAGATTAAGGATGGAGTAAGGGTTTGACCCCCAGGTCTACCTGAGACGTTTCCTTAACCACTGTACAGCGCATCCCAAGTTATTTTATGAAAACATTCTGTTGCTAATGTTAGAAGGCTGTTCTTCAAATGGAAACAAATTCTGCACAGTAGCTCCCTTCTGGGGTAAGCAGATTAACTTGTTACATGTCAGCTCTGAAAAACGGACTACGAAAACCCCAGAACAGTTAAGAAAATCATCACTAAATAAAATCCCCCAGAGTCCATGTCTAAAGTGTTTAAAATTCAGATGTTTCAGGTTTCTCTGAAAATCATTAAAAATGGGCAATGGGAGCTGTGTGAACGCAGCTACAGGAATGAAGTCTGGGTTCCGGATTGGATGGGAATTGCTGGTACTCTAAGAATTCTTCTGTAATTAAGTGAAAACTGTGCCCTGCGGCTTAATTAGTCCACTGTGACTTAGTTTAAGGAGAAACAGTAAATCTTGCTGTATTTCATTAAATGGGAGCCCAGCAGCCCCGCCTCACCTGAGGTTGGATTTACACCTGTACTGATCTCGTGTAAAAGGCCGGGAAGGTGACCCAGTCTTCAGAAGTCTGAAAGCCCCTCCCTCTTCCGTTCAGATTTACAGTGCTCTTGGAATTCCCAAGTACTTCCTTCCTCAAAGGGTTTGTAGCCGACTGACTAAGGATCCAGTCACTGGCCTCTTTGCATCCCTGGGTGGGTAACAAGAGTCAGTAAAGCAAGATTCATGTGGTGGGATGTTCCTAACTACTGCACACGGAGAACCTGCATCCATCAGAAGCTGATGAAGAAACTAAATCCCCTCAAATTTTCTCCAAACATCTCAGTATCTGATAACAACCAGGTTTCATGGTACTTAAAAGAAGGAAATTTTTAGTTTTAGGTTGTTGCTTTTAACTTTATTGGTTCATTATAAAAGCAAAGCACACTCATCACAGAAAATTCAGGAAGTATGAAAAGTTTGAAGCAAGAGAAATCTCACCCTTTGCCTCCTCATTCATTGTTAACATGGTGGCCTGCTTCCCTGTTTTACCCAAGGCTGTGGTTAAGTTGTTCTGTTTGGGGCTGGCAGATAGCTCTGTTGTTAAGAGCACTGACTGCTCTTGCAGAGGACCAGCAGTCAGGTCCAAGCGCCCACATCGTGGATAACAACTGTGGTAGTTTGAATGAGAATGTCCCCTGACAGGCTCCAAGTATTTGGATATTTTGTCCCCAGTTGATGGCACTGTTTGGGGGGGCTTAGAAGGTGTGGCCATGATGGAGGAAGCACATCACTGGGGGTGGGCTTAGAGAGTTCTTAAGCCTTGCCTGATCTCCAGTCACTCTCTGCTTCCTGTGCCTGCATGAAGATGTGAGAGCTTAGCATCCACTCCACCTCTGCCACCATGCCTCCCCACCATGATGGACTCTTGCCCCTTGGGAATCCTAAGCTAAATAAACTCTTCCTTTTATAAGTTCCTTTGGTTATGGTGTCTCTATCATAGCAACAGAAAAGTAACTAAGATAATAACCATTTATAACTCCAGTTCCAGGGGATCCAGCACCCTCTCCGGCCTCTGTGGTCACTGGAATAGAAAAACTTGGTGTTCTGCTAGAAAGACCTCACCTTCGCCTATATATCTGATGGTCAATCCCTTTGCCTCCAGCATCTCAGACACACGTCAGCCTGCCCACTACTTCAGCAAGCAGAGACCGTTCTCTTAAAACACACCTGGTCTGTTATTGCAGTGGCCTCAACTTAGCAGAGTTCAACTTGGTTTTTCAACTTGACAGCGGCACAGAAGTGGTGTGCTTTTGATGTAAACTGTACATTGAACTTTGACCTTTTCTTGGACTAGTAATATGCTGTAGGACTCTTTCACAGAGCTGGACAACAGCCCCCAGTCAGCCATGTAACACAGGGTAGATACTTGGTACTCTGCAGTGGGCTGTGTTGCTAAGCTATGATGCTCAGTAGGCTAGGTGCATCGACGCATTGTCTATGATATCTTCAATGTGCTATGAGTTTATTTGGTGGTAACGCCATCATATGTCGAGGAACAACTGTAGTGGATTTCTAGCTGAATTTGGTATGCAGTTTGTAGTGATTTTCCTATTGGAGAAAGTCACACTGGGGCTGGGGATGTGGCTCCGTTGGTAGAACACTTTCCTAGAATACAGGAAGCTCTGGGTTTGATCCCTGGCACTATATAAACCCAGTGTGGAAGTACAAGCCTGTAATCTCAGCACTTGAGAGGTAGAGGCTCCTCTACCTCAGTAGTTCAGATCATCTTCAGCTACATAGCAAGAGGTCATCCTGGGCTACATGAGACCCTTTCTCAAAAAAAAAAAAAAAAAAACAGAGCTGATCCAGTTTGACCACTAACCTGGTGGTCTTCCACCCACTGATGGGTGGGGCTAACAAATAATCTTCCTCCTCAGAACCCTGGGAACAAACCAGGCAGATACAGCATGTTCCTAAAACCACGTCTGTTCTTTCTCCTGCCCCCTAGTCAGATACAGAGTTCTGGGATAAGATGCAAGCCGAGTGGGAAGAAATGGCCCGGAGGAACTGGATGTCTGAGAACCAAGAGGCTCAGAACCAAGTCACTGTCTCTGCCAGCGAGAAGGTACCTCAGCCTGTATTCATGTGCTGCTCAGTGTGCTCAGACTTGCCAGACCACATTATGGACCAGTAAAACCCCTCGTCAAAACCCTAAGACTTAAAGACAATTTAAAGTCAATCCAACCTAGAAGAAGCTGTGATGGAGATGACATGACCCTCTGGTGCATGAGGGCAGCTGACATGGATGGAGTGAGATGTTCCTGTTTTTGTCACTGTTCAGACAGTGTGGTATCCACCCCAGACCTCCACCCTAACTGTAACCAACTAGAGAACATTTAGGGTTGGAGAAGAACAAGGCTAATCCCACAATGGCTGGTCATCAGTCAGTGCAGTTCTGTTGATGTGTGAATGACAGGTGATGTAAAAGGCACAGGAGTGATACAGGACTTCAGGCTGCATCTCATGGGTGACCATCATACACCCAGCTAAGACCTAAGTGTAAAAGATGCTCTTTCACAGCTAAGTCAAACCATTACTCAAAGATGCTCCCTTGACAGGAGGCCCAGAAAACATATAAGTACAGCAAACCACCAGCCAGATGGTCCACAGAGCCCAGGTCCTATGAGGTCTCTACCTTTAAAAGACCCTGGTAAGGGAAAACACTGTGGAATTACCACAAAGGAACAGAAAGGTAGAGAGATGAATGTTGCATACACACAAAAAAAAATCATATACACATGCATGTACACACACACACACACACAAACACATAGACGTGTGCATAAACACATTTATCAGTTAAAGCTGACCTCATGGTTTGGTGTCTGAAGTAAATCTCAGTCACTCCTGGAAACATGTTCATGATGTTTTATTCAACACAACAAACACTTGTTTTGCATGTAGTCTCCTAGGTACTCAGGACGTAATGTGTAGTCAGATTATAGGGTATTTGCAATCGACATGGTCATTAAAATGTCTCTTCTGGGACTGAAGAGATAGCTCAGCAGTGAAGATCACTTGCTGTTCTTGCAGAAGATCCAAATTCAGTTCACAGCTCACAACTGCTTTTAACTCCAGCTTCACCAAATCTGATGTCTCTGGCCTCCATGGGCACTCGCACTCACATACACAGACACACACATACACATAATAGAGAAAAATTTGTCTCTCTTCCCAATGTCTCTGTCCTCAGGGGATCAGATAGTCCTATGACATCAGTTATTTAAAGTAACTGTCTTTTCCACAAGGTAAATCAAAGCTAGGCAAAGAAAAAAACACTGACCATCAGACCCTGGGCTACAATCCACATACCAGAGGCCATGCTGGGACCATGAGCCCCTCACCCCAGGACCCTGTTTTTATACCACCACTACTGCAAAAGCTCTTCAGATCCTGTGGGTTTGATAAGAGGTTTCATCTTTATAAGGGTGGGAAAAGTTGGCCTCTGCCTGATCTATTTTTAAACCTAGGTGACATCATCAACAGGCTCATTTATATCTGTCAAGTTAAAAGGGTTTCAGACTGAAACAAATAATATTCTCGAATACTATAAGAGAAATTTTAACTCAAAATCAAACCAGCTACTAGAATAGAGATCTAAAACAGTCCATAGCCCTTTCCCTAACGCATCCTCTAGAAGTCATCAAATACTGAGGCTGTATTTATAATACCAATAAAAATAAATTTGAGACACCATCTCACTCAGGCTGGTCCCATGGTAATCCTCCTGCCTCAAGTGCTGGAATTCCAGGTGTGAGCTACCCTTCCACTCCAGATTTTTTTAAATAACCAAACTGTCCATCAATAAAATCATTTTAGTGACCTAGGAAAATAACCACAATCTAAAACGAAGTAGGGCCCAAGCTGCAGGATTACATGAACCTTCTGTTTAAGATGCACATACATAGACAGTACTAGATGCATGTTCACACATCCTATAGTAGTTAAGATTTGCAACTAAAAAGCCTATATCTGTAAGGCATGCATTTTCAAAAGGGACAAACACAGCCTCCGATGGAGAAGACAGTCATTCAGCGCACAGGTAGAAGAGGCTGGGCATTACAATGGTTTGCGCTTGTCTAAAGGCAGCAGATACGCAGCTTGTAATGTTAACATTTCAGAGGGGTGGGTGGCAGCATGTGGCAAAGATATGTCTAAAAAGTTAAACCTTAGGGAGAAATAGTTAAAACAAAAAAAACAGAAGAAATAGCAGAGAGCAAACTCACTTCGAAGTAAGTATAAATTAAATTAAAATTTAAGGCAATCTTACTGCTCTAAGAGTGAAGAGAAGAACCAGGGTTTGCATAATAGCCTTCTCTGTGCCCCAGGGATATTACTTTCACACGGAAAACCCCTTCAAGGACTGGCCTGGAGCATTTGAAGAAGGGTTGAAACGGCTGAAGGAGGGCGACCTGCCTGTCACCATCCTGTTCATGGAGGCAGCGATTCTCCAGGACCCTGGAGATGCTGAGGTGACACTCCTCTTCTCCCTATCAGACTAGGAAAGTGTCAGCATGTGCTGACAGGCCAGAATGGGACAGGGCTCTGCTGGGTGAATCTTCATCAGTTAACAAAGTAACTCACCTGGCTTGGCTTAGCTTGTTAGAAAGTTGCACATACCTGCTTTCTAACTGGGTCTCTAATCTTCAAGATCTGCAGCTCCCGGGGAGAAAATTGGGGACAGAAAATAGAAACAAAGAGTCAACCTGATGCTCACCCCAAGAGCAACATTGCTTTTATCTGCATCTCAGGTCATGCCAATGTATCACCTTTGTAACAGTTAAGAGCACAACGCTGTGCTGGGACCTGAAAGGAAAGAAAGCAGCACCGTGTAATGTAGCCACCCGTCTATTCAGTGTAGCAGTGAGGTGCAGGGAGTCAGGACGCTTTGGAGGGTGGAGTGAGGAGGCTAGGGTAGGGTAGGGTGCAAAGAGGTGGAGGCTAGTCAGCCTTCCCCCATGAGTGGATCTGAAGCTGAGTTTTGAAGGAGAAAGGATGCAGGATGACAGGGTGGTCCACTTGTTCTTGGAAGGAATGTATAATTTTACATACTTCCCTTGGGGCTTTAAGATACCTAGTATCACGAAATCGCAGAAATCCAGGGGTTCTCACAGCACTAAGTTATATAGGAAAGGATAAATACTGAACAGGTTTGGGAGCATGGCAAAGTCTTGACCCAGATGTCACAGGGCAGTCAAAGTGGAGGTGTGTGGTACTCCCTTCAGGCAGCCCTTCCCTCTGACTGTTCTGCACAGGGACCACAGGTAAACTAACTGACATGGGAAACAGTCCTGCTTCATCTTAGACTGCTAACATCAGTCTGTTTTGATTTGGATTTTTCTGTTTTTATTTGTTTTTTGCTTTGGTTCGGTTTGGTTTTCCTAGGCGTGGCAGCTCCTTGGAATAACCCAGGCGGAGAACGAAAACGAGCAGGCAGCCATCGTCGCCCTCCAGAGGTAGATGCCGCTCAGGGCGCACTCATGGGCCTGGGGGACTCAGCCAGCTTCCTGGGTTTCTGATTTGCCTTTAGCCCCTCCTGAAGTAGTGTGTGAAGAATGCATGCTGAGTGCCACGTGCCAGTCACATGGAACTCTTATGATGGAATAATATTCCCAACTCACAATGTTTTACAACCTATAGATCAACAGATGTTTGCTGGCTCAAAGGAAGTCTGTTGCAAACAGCCAGAAGATAAACTCATTAGATAAATGCTCTTTCAGCTTTCCAGCCTTTTGCAGCATCCCAAAGTTTTCTTCAGGAAAAATATATTCAAAATATTGACCAAAGGACTTAGGGTGGAGGAAGGAACAGAGGGGTAGTCGACACTCCCCACTTACTTGAATAGAGCCCCTATTTAATCCTAGAAAAAACAGTATCCAAATACCAAACACATTTTCACCTTTCTTGCCCTTTCATATAAGTACTTTTAATATAATGCGACATATATGTTATATATATATGAATATTTGTGTTATAGGTGTATATAACTTGTGGTATATAAATTCGAGAATTTAGGGACCTCAGAATGTAAGAACTCTTGGTTCTTGTAATTCCAGGGCTTTACTTTCCCAGAATCCTATATTTAAAGGTTCAGTTGGTGTGTCACAGTGTAAGGTACCCAGGGTATTGTTTTTCCTTGAGAGCCATTTCCTGGAGCCCAGAGACACTGGAGAGGAGGGACGGCCATGGCCTCAAGGACAGCATGCAACAGAGGCAGAACTTAAACCCTGATCCCCGGACTCAAAAGCTGGAATTCTCTGAGTCAGTTGTTCTTAACCCTGCACACAAATTCACAATAGAATTGTTTAATCAAGATTCCTAGGCACTCCCAGAAATCAATCATGGTTTACTTGGTCGGGACAGAGGAGTTAAGCATCAGGAGTGTTCAATTCCCCCAGCAAATCAGAGTTCGCTGATGCCTTTCTGAGGGGCAGTGGGTACTGTGCAGAGTTTGCTACTCCAAGTCTTACCAGAGCCTACCATCATCTCCATTCCCTGGAGACTTGTCTGACCTGCTGCCCTAGGTCCTGCTGCAGACCGTGTTAAAATCTGCATGATGCCAGGTTCCCAGACCATCTGTTTGTACTTCTGAGTTTGAAAAGCCCTTGCTGGAGACAAGTAGAAAATGGGCACAGCAATAACCTGTCTTCCATAGCCCACGTTAGCAGCCCAGAGACACAAGGGTTCCCCTCCTTTTGCAGGACGTTGTACGATCTTTCATCTCTGTGTATTCACATTTTCTCCAAGTCCAGTTTGGGGGAGATAAGCAGCATTTAAATACCATCCTCCATGTCTCACTAGGACACTAGCACGGAGGTATTAGCTACACTGCCTCTTAGAGGAATTTATTAAAAGTAGTGAAGCTGGTCACCACCAGGATACGTTTTAAGCTCCTTAAAAATAGTCTTTGATATCAGTTTTCTTTTGGAGAAATAAAGTAGTATCCACAGACTTGAAAAAAATTTAACAATGCTATCGCAACGTTTAATTAAGCTGCACGTTTTCTAAACCTTTAGATGCTGGCTAAAATAATAAAGACAACCTGCAGTTGTTTGATTTTTTTTTTTCCCTTCTCTTTAGGTGCCTGGAGTTGCAGCCCAACAACCTGAAAGCACTGATGGCCTTGGCTGTGAGTTACACCAACACGGGACACCAGCAAGATGCCTGTGAGGCGCTGAAGACCTGGATTAGGCAAAACCCCAAGTACAAATACCTTGTCAAGAACAAGAAGGGCTCTCCAGGCCTCACTCGGCGGATGTCTAAGTCCCCGGTTGACAGGTGACTCTACTTTATACGCAGTCGTAAACAGCTGCAGACACCGAGAAGCGTGGCCTGTACTGTGTTCACCTGCATGCTGTGACTTTGACCGTATTTTCTCCTCATTCATCATCAAGAGTCTTCTCATTGAGCTACTTGAAGCAAACATTCTGATCTGGGCTGGAGAGATGGCTTATCGGTTAAGAGCATGTACTGCTCTTCCACAGGCCCCAAGTTCAGGTCTCAGCATCCATGTCAGGCAGCTTACAACCAACTACCCTATAACTCCAGCTCCAGGGGATCCCACACCCTCTTTTGTCCCCAAAGTTCATGTGCACATACCCCACCAACACACATATATATAATTTTTAAAAAAACAAAAAGTCCAAACAGCTTTCCAATCTGTAAGGGAGAGAAACTCAGAGTCAAAAGGAGGTCGGTCAACCATCTCCTGCCGACACCCTGGCCCTGAACCCCGATCTTCTTTTGCAGCTCTGTTTTGGAAGGAGTGAAGGAATTATACTTGGAAGCGGCCCACCAAAATGGTGACATGATCGACCCAGACCTGCAGACAGGTCTTGGGGTGCTGTTCCACCTGAGTGGGGAGTTCAACAGAGCAATTGATGCATTTAACGCTGCCTTAACTGTTCGGCCAGAGGTAAGACATCCCAGCACGGAGAGAAAGCACAGGGTTCCCCGTAACTAGCAAGCTTCCTCGGGCCGCCCTTCACTTCTTTCCCTGCCTCTGATGGTTTCACCACTGTGAACCACTGTGATTGTTCATACCGAAATGCCCAACATAGAACCAGTAATTATATAACATCAGGTGACCACTGCTCTTTGAAGAATGAAAGTCATTCCAAGGGGCTGGAGAGATGGCCAAGTGGTTAAGAGCACCAGCTGCTCTTGCAGACGACCCAGGTTCAATTCCCAGCACCCACATGGCAGCTAACAACCATCTTAACTCCAGTTCCAGGGAATCTGAAGCCCTCTTCTGACCTCCACAGGCACTGTACAACACGGGTGCACCAACCTACATGCAGGCAATACATTCATACACATAAAATAAAAATAATAAATAAAATATCCCCCTAAAAGAAAGTCATTTCACAAAGTTAGCCAGGAAGATTTTTGAATCATTCACCTCATCACCATCCCCACCAGCAAGCACCCAATGAACGCTCAGCCATCTTCCTTCCTCTGCAGAGGGTTGTAGGAGAGCTGCCACGGCAGCTCACTGTGGGTGTTAGAGAGCTCTGATCTCTGTCATCAGGACTACTCACTGTGGAACCGTCTGGGGGCGACCTTGGCAAACGGAGACCGCAGTGAGGAGGCCGTGGAGGCCTACACGAGAGCACTGGAGATTCAGCCAGGCTTCATCCGGTCCAGATACAACCTGGGGATCAGCTGCATCAACCTGGGTGCCTACAGGTAAAGTCTTCAGCTGGCTAGGCTGGAAAACGTGGTGGCCACTGAGGCTGTGTAACCTGAGGGGCGGTGTCCAAGTAAAAATGTCTCAGGCTGGAGAGATGGTTCAGTCAGTAAAGTGCTCACCCTGCTAGCGTGAGGACCTGAGTTTGGTCCTCAGAACCACATAAAAAGCCAGGCACACTGCTGCACACTTGTAACCAGCACTGGGGAGGCAGAGATGGGAGGATCCCAGGGCTCACTGGCCAGCAAGCGAGACTAACTGGCAAGCCCCAGGTCCCAGTGAGAGACCCTGTCTCCCAAAACAAAGTGTTAGTACCAGAGGAATGGCACCAGAGAGTGACCTCTGGCCTTCACATGGACACACGCACACACATACATACACACACATGTATATGCATGCATACACACACCACACATACAACACACACAACACACGCACACAACGCACACAACACACACATGCACACACGCATACACACACATACACAGCACACACAACACACATGCACACACGACATACACACATAACATGCACACGTGCACACACATACACATGCATACACATACACAGCACACACAACACACATGAACACATACACATATGTGTATACACATATACACATGCATACACACATATGCACATACACAACATACATGCACACACAACACATGCATACACATGCATACACAACACACATGCACACACAACATGCACACGTGCACATGTATACACACACATACACATGCACACACATACACACCACACAACACGCACACCACACACAAGCACACATGCACACATGCGCATACGCATACACAGGACACAGAACACACATGCACACATACACATACATACACACACGCATACACATACACACCACACAACACGCACACGTGCACATACACACACTCACATACACACCACACACAACATGCACACACACATACGCATACATACACATACCACACACAACATGCACACATGCACACAACACACACACACATGAACGCATATGTACACACACAACACATACATACACACACCACACACATGCACATACATACACACACCACACACAACATGCACACACATGCATACACAATACACATACACAACACACACATGCATACACACATACTCATACCTAACACACATGCACACACATACACATGCACACACATGCACACACACATACACACATGCACACACACATACACATGCATCACACATGCACACCACAGGCACACATGCACACACACACACACACACACCACACCACAAAAGTAAAACGTCCTCAGGAGCAGTCCACCTCTGCTGTTAGGGTAATGCCGATCTTCCAGGGTCTGCGTACTCCCAAGCTGTAAAGATGGGCACTTTCCCGGGCATGCCAGGAAAGGCAGCTATCCCAGCCCCTCAGCCGCAGTCTGAGTTGTTGGCCTGGGTTAAGACAAGTGACCTGGGGTCCTAATGCTCACACGACTCTGTGAACCCCAAACAGTTCAGAATTCAGTGTTCCCATTTAAGGGAAATGATCATTGAGGAGGGGACAGAGTCAAGGGGACTCACTAGCAAAATCACTTTGGAAGGTCCCAGAACCAGTGTTTGGCAATGCAAAACCAAGAATCCAGGTGCTCTAAACCTGGCACACTGATAGTCAGGACATTAAAAAAAGAAAAAAGAAAAAAAGAAAAAAAGGTGGGTTTATTGTTTAAAATGCAAAAGAAAAAAAAAGAAAAAATGGTGGGTGAGCCCGGAGCACTTCAGTCATCGGATACATGGAACTCAGCTGTTCTCAAACTTTCTGTCCCTGGCCCTCTCCATAGACAGCAACAGCTGAGACAGCCAAAGCCATTTGCTTACGTGAGTTTTATCTGTCAGTATTTATGGTGTCAGAAATTAGACTAGGGATTTCAGAAGATTGACTTAACAGTAATAGGACTGCTTACATGTTGACATAAATAATGTGTTTTAAATAAAAGAATCATTTTTCCAAAACAAAACTATATTCAGAAACAAAAATGGTCCTGTGTTGTGTTTCTGAAACCTCCCTTAAGATCTTGTGTGCTGGAAGGCTGACTTCTGTCTACTTTTGCATTCTTCTGTGGGGCTTTCACGTCATGTAAAATCCCACAGTGTGCCTAAGAGAAAACGAAAGAGGTGGAATTACATCTCAGCTTCGTTATGAAAAGTCGTAATAAATCTGACCTCACAGACCCCAAGGCTCCCCAGAGCACCCTCAGTGAACTGTTGCTTACAATAAGAGTTTTTATATAAACTGATCCCAGGACACCACAGCGAAGTGTTAAGATGATGTCTTTCTCCCTATCACACACTCAGGACTGAGCCTTGGAGAAGACATGAAATTTGCTCAAGGCTGAATACTAGGATGGAGGCCTTGAGAATAACATTTACACTCTGTATTTCTTTTTACTACTAGGCAAACTTAGGTCACTTGTTTTTTGAGGAGAACCATTTTTTGTCTTAAAGGCAGGTCACATAAACCACACTCATACATGGATGAAGTTTTCAGATCAGGCCTGCAGCGGGGAAGAGATCTCAACAACTTAGCAATGGTTTTAGTAGTCTTCCTCTACATAGGATGCGCCTAAGATAAAACTGCCTTTTCTCTTCTCTGTCCAATAACAATTATTGTTCACAAAGGAAAGTCACTGGTGAGGTCATCCAATATACCATAGAGAGGCGACCTAGGATTCTACACTGTCATTTCATTTTTTTAGACTGTTTTCTGTTTTAAGAATACTAACTCTGGAATTTGTTGCATTTTAAAATGTGTCTTTCTCTCCTCTCAGAGAAGCAGTGAGCAATTTTCTCACTGCCCTCAGCTTGCAAAGGAAGAGCAGAAACCAGCAGCAGGTCCCTCACCCCGCCATCTCGGGGAACATCTGGGCCGCCCTCAGAATTGCACTGTCACTGATGGACCAGCCAGAACTATCCCAGGCAGCCAATCTGGGTGACCTGGACGTCCTCCTAAGAGCTTTCAACTTGGATCCTTGAAGGCAAAGACAAAAAGAGAGAATAATAATCCCTCATCTGTGTTATTGTACTGAGAAGGGGAAAAACTATTTTATTATGCATTTCAACAAAAGGGATAAATCAGATATTCAAAAGGCCATGGTCATATAACCCAAGGGAATTGATTCCTACAAAGTCCAGTCTGTGTTCAGATACAGAAGCACAAATAGAGTCAAGGTCAGGTTCAAGAGAACCGAGATTCTCGAGACAAACCAAGATAAAAGTAACCGTGTGCTCATCACAGGTTGCAAGTGTATTACAAACATGGTCTTCAAGCTTTCTGTCCCCAGTTGTAGCTGGTGACACATCTGAGGAGCCTGTTTGTGGGACACACAAGAAAGCATGGCCTCAGATCAGGGAATTCAGACTGTCTCTAACCCGTCTCCCCGAGCTCCTTTTTGCAAGGCTGAGCATAGTTTGGGCCACTGGTGCATGCACACGTTAACCTGACTGAAGGCAGGCACTGCGTTACCCTGCTCCAGTTTTAACTTTTACTGTAGCCTTTGTTTCCAGAGAGACAGACAGCTTTGCTGGCAAAAGCAGTTTTTGCACTAGAAATTTTTGCTGTTCCCAATGAAATCTTTTCTGGGATTGTATATAATATGCACTTTAATATCTTATTTATGCCTTGCTGGAGTTCTGGTTTGTGGCTCCAATTTTTAACTTGGGGGTGAAAGATTTGGGAACTCAGACTTGTTAACTCAATGGACCAAATAAAAATATTCTGGAAAATGGTTTTTCATAGCATAGGGTTTTGAACGAGTGTTGACATAAGGTATAAATATGTCAAGCCCAGTTCTCTTTCACGTGCTTTCTGGAACTATGAATCACAGTGGGAGACGAGATTTGACTCTCCCCTCTCCTCTACAGAAGGAAACTTGTTGGCTCTGAGGTTTCTACTGAGTTTGCATTAACTTCGCTTACGTGCCACACGTCACTGGCTTTCTAACTACCCTGCACAACAATATTCCTTTTAAACTGCTACTATTTTAAATGGTATTTCTTAAGAATGGTAAATACATTTTTTCCTAAAAATGATGTTTCCTCAGTTCCGTACGGTCTGCTCTGCCCACGTGTCGCTTGTGAGTGTTTGTAACTGAGACGCTCTGTGCGCCAGTCTCTGAAAGATGCACAGCCCTTTGACTCTTGTCTTAAATGTTTACCAGGTAGCAGGCTTCTTCTATCAGCAGTTTCTTATTTAATTGATTACCTTTCACATACCCTTCTGAGTATGTTGTGAGTGTTTGGAATTAGGTGATCATTTTGAAAGATGCATTTTATAAGGAATTATGAAAGTCATTGGCAAAAACCTAACCAAAATATCATTTTGCTCAGACCAAATTCTAGTAAGATGTCCTGTTTGTCTTTACTTTGTCCTCTTCCATCCTGAATCTTCCTGAAAGCTGTATGATTCCCAAAAACTTAAATTTGGGTCAAAGCAGGGGAATTAGCTTCCATGGATCAGAAATATACCCATATGCTGAATGGACTTCTCCATCTCTGGGGAATCCCTGCATTGTGAAGGGCTGAAATTCCCATCAACACTAGTCCTAGAGGCTTATCTATATCGCAAGCTGTCTAGTTTATAAGGACAAAGACTGGAAGCCACTGTGGTTGGTGTCAGGCTTTGCTGTTTGTTGACGAAGCTCCCTGTGGCAGGGCAGTAGCTGGGCAGCTGGAGGCAGAGGCCATAAGGCACCTGCCCCGGGGCAGAAGTGACAGCTCACGCTTGGCTTATAGTCTGAGCAGGAAAGGAAAAATCAAACATATGCTCAAGAATGGCATTCCCTAGACTATCAGAAACATTTGGGGAAGGATTTCTAGGAGCAGAGTACAGACCACAACACCTGCCTGTCAGGCATCCCCGATGGGCCACTGACCATTCCTGCCTACTTTTCCCTCTTCACTCTGCACATCAGCCTCTGACCAGTTGACTCAGATCCGTAAGAGGCCACCAGGAACCTCTGAACTAAGAATTCAAAGCAACCTTCACAGGAGCTCTGTTCCTGACGCCCAGCTTCTCAGCTGCACCCAGACATGCCATAATTACCAGCTGCACCCTCAGCCATGCTAACCCTTCACACTTAAGATCAGTCAGGTCTGCAGCCTGGCCATAGTATAAATGTGCAATGTTCCATTTAACTTGACTGCTGCTAAGTGGTCTCAAATTTCTGTGGCCCCAGATTATTTTGCCATTTGAATACTAAGTAACTTCAAATTCCAGGGAGTTATTTTAGGGACAGTTGACAACTGTCTGTTCCACTGTTACTTGGCAATTTGTAGTATATTCCTTATTAGACATGTCATCTGCATCTTTTAGTGTTTGCTTTTTAAATGCAGAACTATTTGGCTCTTTTCATCTTCATGACAAGAGATTGCCATTTCCTCCATCCATTTGAAAGAGCAGGGCATCCTCCAGAGGCTCTGGGGGGCCTGTGGAAGAATCAGGAGCCTGAGTACTCCTGGAGGGCTGGACTCATTTATACAGTGGCTACTCAGAAGCTTCCACAGACTGACTTTGCCCGGAAATTGGATGGAAATGCAGAGAAAGCAAGAAATCCCTGCTGAATCTCAGACTCTCACAAGTTCTGGGAAACTGTCTCTGTGAGCTACTGTCTCTCAACAGCGAAGAGGAGGCAGAAGAAACGTAGGGCTGGGCATGTAGCTCAGAGGACACAGTGCTTGCCTAGCATCACAAAGCTCTGGGTTCCATCCCCAGCACTGCATAAACCACGCACGGTGTTGCACACCAGCAATCCCAGCACTTGGGAAGTAGAAGCAGGAAATCAGGAATTCAGGGTCATCCTCAGCTACATAGAGAGTTCAAGACCAGCTTGAGCTACACGAGACTCTACAAATCAGGAGTAAAGGAGCCTTTCACCAGGTTGGTTTCAATTCTGCATTCCCATGCTCTCTCAGCATCGCTCCCTAAGACCCACCAGGAAAGTAATTCAATGAAGTGCTCTTTTCAGTAATGACCCCACCAGAACACACCCACCCCAGACCTTAATGCCATTTTCATTTATACTAACATTATGTTGAGTCTTAGATCAATATCCAAATTCTTCTGTAGATAAATCTTTCTGGTATATTCTTGCCACACAAATAAGACTTGAACACAACTGTAGCTCATCTCATTTTGAGTTCCCAAGTCTCTTGCCATGACAGTTATTGGTGAGCTCCTGGGGAATCCAGAGAAAGGATATTGGTCACTCTGTGTTCCTTCCCCATTTTCGCTGAATTGGTTCTTCAAGATTGGGCTGTACTTAGGTTAGCGTTGTGATGACGGTAATAGTTCTTTTCTGCCTTGAAACGCTTCTAGAAGCAGTCTGGAAACCAGGTGTTCTGTAGGTTTGATTCATGTGCCATCTCTTTTTTTTAGGAATTATGGCACAGGCACACACGATTTTCAACCTTGTAACCAGCTTGAATTTAACCCCCATCTAGACTTCAGTCTCATCATCTCAGTATTTATAGAACTGGCTGAAACTAAACTGTTTTGAACTAAGAAGCAGACACATATATTTTTCAAGCGTGTTCATAGATCATCTCTGGCATAAAGTTTGTAAAAAGGCAATTTTTAAAAAGCAAAATATATAACCTCAGGTACAAAACTACTGCATGCGTTAGTACTTACAAATCTGCCTACTCAACTGTTAACCGAAGCATGCAAGACACCTTCACTGAATGCGAACTCGCCCCGTGCATGACTGAGTGGCATAGGGTAGCTTATGTTTCCTCCCTTCTGAACAAGCGAGCCCTTCATGAATTCTGTTCCGGTTCTGTTTCCTATCCTGTCTCTGGGATTGTGTTCATGCGACCACATCGTACCCGACATGTTGGTTTGAGCAGTGTGACAGCCAGGCCCAAGCCAGTCCTCCCGGGATTTGGAACACACACACTTCTCTAAAACCCGTTTGAGGCTCAACAGCTCAAGCCGAGACAGAGCCACGTGTCTGACTACTGCTAAGCTAAATTGTGTTCATTGCCTTGGGCTAGAGGCTTTGGGCTCTAAGCTCCTAATGTATTTCAATTTTTTTTTCTCAAAAAGTTTAGGAAGAAATTAGAAAACTCTAGAATTCTAAGCAAGATGGGGAGTTTAGAGAGACATCACCACGCATATGAAGCACTTCCTAGAGCAGAATGAACCTGGGGCCGAAATTTCTGCAAGGGTTACACTGGGATCGCATGTGTCATAGGGAGCAGTGTGGGGTACCACAACATTGTCCTGAAACAGTTCTGTTTGTAAGGTCCCTAGATTTGATCCGTCAATCCAAAAATACTCAAATTTAGGAGTACGAGATGATTTCAGAGTCAATGAAAATCAATGGCTTCTCGCTGCGTTTTTCTGTAACCCTGTTTTACTACAAAATCAGGAATGGACAGAACAAAGCTCAGGAAGACGATGAGGTTGGGGGTGGGGATGTGGCTCAGTTGGTACTGTGCTTGCCTAGCAAGAACAAAGCCCTAGGTTTGATCCCACCCCACATGAGCCTGAGGAGGGCAGCATACACTTATCACCCCAGCAGGTGGGGGAGGCAGGTGGAGGTAGGAAAGTCAGCAGTTCAAGGTCATCTTTGACTACATGGCTTCAAAGGCAAGCTGTGTTAATGAGACACTGTCTAAAATGCAGACATTTGTGAATAACAGCTTGGTGACCCACTTCCTGTGTGCCTAAACTCCCACACAGAAGTCCAAAGTCCAAATGTACCCTCAGAAAAGACCCTTGTGTGGGAATGTTAAACAGTGCAAGGCTTAGTGGTCTCATGTGCTAAACATGTATTAAACAGCGCAAGGCTTAGTGGTCTCATGCAGGGTGTTGGCCTTACAATTTCCAGCAGCTGCAACCACCGCAGAAACACCAAATTAGCTCTGGAAGCCAGTGCCCCAACCGTGCACTACATTCTCAGGACTGCCTCACCGAGGGAAAGTGTTGCCGAGGCCTCAGTGATATCAAGTGATAATAACGTGAAAAACAAACAAGGAAGCCGTCCTTCACTGTTCTATAAAACCGCATACTTGGGGTTGGGCTTTGGTCTTTGAATGTATTGGAGAGGGAAATGCGTGCACACAGGTCATAAACTGAGCGTCTGTCGTTATCACTGACACATAACATTCTCCCATGGAACGGGAAAGATTGTGCTGTGTGATCAGTGTGTCCATGACTGGCTATGTCACCATCCATGAAGGGACACACCATAAGCCTCATTTTTCACCCGGTTCTTTATTTTCCCTGTATGTCATCTGACTCAAACTCTCAATTTTCATTACCCAAATTTGTTTACGTCGGCTGAAAAAAAAATTAACTGATTAATTTAGTAAACTTTTTACAAACTCTAAGAAGCATTTATTAACTATTTAGAAAAGACATTTCTATCTATTTTGTATATCTATGAAGACTGCATATCTAATCTAATCTAAAACTGTTTTGAGAAAAAAAATGCTGTGTTGCTTCCTTATCCTGCTCAATAACGTATAAAATCTTGAGATTTCATTTTCAAACTGAAATAGATAACAATTAACTTTAAATGTTTACACTGAATTTCTAAAGTAACATTGACCCCAAATTAAGTGTTCTATAGTCAATTAATGGCGATGTGGGATTAAATATCCTTGGCATATTATGCGGTAATATTTCTATGATATGGTGAACTGTGCCCTAAGCCTTCATCTTACTCTTTGCATTGCTTTTTGAAATAAACTTACTATGAAAATAACCACTTATCCTACTGATGTGTTTAATTCATTCAGATGGCTCACAGCTTCCGAGGTGTTAGGTGATATTTTAACACCTGCTGAGGGCACGCCGTCTGCTTCTCACGGCATTAGGTTGTGTCTATATTTGTGCAGTTTAAACTGTGTTTTCAAACAAGCTTTGTCTGTGGCTCTCTGGTCTTTCCAGGAATCTTTCAAACTGGGATTTGGGCATGAGAGCTGCTTCACGTCAAGTAGAATCCAATTTTACTGCTGGTTAAAGGGTCTTTTCATTGAATGCGGCTGCAAATAATTATGCATGAGTTACTTGGAAATCAGGAATGCATTTTTAGATATACAACAAGCCTTTAAAACCTTTCTCTTTTGCTAAGTTTTTAGGACTCAATAACATGAAATTGAAATTTGTGATCTTTTTAGAATAAAAATTAAAATATATTTCACTTTAGGGTCTTTCTTGGGGGGAGGTCAGTCAGGCAATAAATATTTGAACACTGATTCCATGCAGGCTCCTGTTCTGATGTGAGACACACTAGATACACTAAGTCATGCTTGTCCTTGAAGAGCACAGGTTTCTATGAGATGTGGAGGCCAGAAGAGTGAGGATGCAGTGTGCCCCGGGGTGAGAAGGGAGTGCACAACGCATCACGGGACCTCTCGGGAGCCTTTTCCTGCAGGTGGTCAGGAAAGGCTTCTCTTAGGGACGTTTGGGCTGAGATTTGAACCAGGACCCAGTGAGGACGGCACTCCTGGGGATGCTGACAGGAACCAGCCTGGCCTGTGCTGGTGGAGAAAGGCAGCCAAGGCTGGAGGCCCAGAGGCCCGGGATGTCTGCGGGTGAGAGCCCTTCTCAGAGCGGGGTTAAGGGCAGAACTGCCTCCCGGCTCTGAAGTCTCTGCTCCTAAAACCAAGTCCTCCTGGCAGGCAGTGAAGACAGATGCAGGGGGCAGGGGGCTGGAGACGGCTCCTCCCCGCTGCCCCCTCCCGGCGTCAGCCAGCACTTGGCCTTGGCGCACATCCAGTCTTCCCTCCATGAAGCCACATGAGACACTTGTGCTTCCCGCTTGACGGTTAGGCAATGCAACCTACAAATATGCCAACCAGTGGGGGATTGAAGCTTTACTCCCACCTCAGACTAACCTGGGCCTTTTTTTTCTCTTCTTTTTTTCGTCTTTTCAGGGTCTCTCTGTAGCCACAGAGGGCCTAGATTCACTATGGAGACCAGGCTGGCCTCAAACTCACAGAGATCTGCCCGGCTCTGCATCCCAAGTACTGGGATTAAAGTTGGGGGGGGGGGCTACCCAGGCCTTCATGTGTACGAGTTTTGCCCGCATGTAAGTACACCACGTGTGTGCAGGTGCCCTCAGAAGCCACAAAAGAGCATGTGATCCCCTGGAACTGGAGTTACAGACATCTGAGGGCTGCCATGTGGGTGCTGGGAACCAAACCCAGGTCCTCTGCAAGCACAGCCAGTGCTCTTAACCACTGGGCCATTTTTCCAGCCCCCATCCACCTTATTTGTTGAACCTGGAGCTCACCAGTTCAGCAGGACTAGCAGCCCAGCAGCTCCAGGGACCCACCCAGCCCTGGGATTACAGGTGCACACCACCACACCCGGTTCTTCATGTGACTGCTGGGAATCTGAACTCAGGCTCTCAGTTTGTGCAACAAACACTTACCTTCTGAGCCACTGTCTCTCCTCAGCTCCCTTTCTATTCTTTACAAGGTTCCTTAAAGCAATACAGACAGCACTTACAAGTTTGCCTTTTATTTCCCTCTAACTTACATTCCACAATAAATAGAGCTCCTGGTTCGTTTTGTTTTTTGCAGTTTTGTTTGATGGTTGAGTTTTTTGGGTTGTTTGCTTCAATGCTGGGAATTGATTCCAAGGTCTTGCACATGCTAAGCAAGCACTTTACCACTGAGCTACCACCTTAGCCCCTTGTGATCATGTTAAAGTCTCCCAATGTGGGGAACACT